GAGGGGGAGGGGGAGGGGGAGGGGGTGAAGAGGGCCTCATGGGTGCGTTGCGCCCGGTGGGTGCAAAAAATATGTGTTGACGGGAAGGAGGGGAAAGAGGGTACGAGCATCAGAAGTACGGCAAATTGCTTTCTCTCTCTCTCTCTCTCTCCTCCCCCATCTGCTTCTCCTCCATCACCGAGGCGATTTGGGTCACGTCCAACTGCACCCAAGCCAACCAACCCTACACTAACCCCCCCCCCCCACACACACAAAGCATACTAAAATCCTAACAAAAAATTCCAAATTTAAATTCCCAAACCCGATTTAAACCGGCCTAAAACCCAATATTCATAACCCCTCCATGCAGGCCTTCACTCGGGTCCTGTGGTGGGCGCCGTGGTGGGTTTTAAGATGCCACATTTCTGCTTGTGCGGGGACACCGTCAACACGGCCAGCCGCATGGAGTCGAACTCCAAACCCATGCGCATTCACATCAGCGATTCCACGGCCGCCCTGCTGCGGGCCTCTGACGAGGGATTCAAGCTGGAGCGGCGAGGAGTTATCCAGATCAAAGGCAAGGGTCCCATGCTCACACACTGGCTGCTGACGGAAAGTGAGGTGGCGGAGGCGGAGGCGGTGGCGGCGGCGGCGGCTAACGGCGGCGGCGGCTGCCAGCAGCTAGGTACTGCAGCGGGGGAAGCGGAAGCGGCGGCGGCAGCGGGGACGGAGGAGGCGCCGCCGCTGCTTGTGGACCCGCTAGCGGACGCCGCTGTTGTTGGCAATACATGGGTGGCGGCGGCGGCGGCGGCAGCGGCGGCGGAAGAGCTTGATGCGACGCGGACCGTTCCAGACATGCCGTCGTTGCTGTCATCGGCGTTAGGGATAGCGGCAGGGCATACGTCGTACAGCGGGACGCCGCTGAGCGGTGGCGGCGGCGGCACCGATCAAAGCTGCGCCTCATCTCCTGGCAACCTGGCGAACAATGTACGGCGAAGACTGAGCGAGTTTGGCAATCCCGGAGGTGGCGGCGGCGGCGGTGGGAGCCGCTTTCAACCGACGTTCCTGCCCGGCCGCGAAAACAACAACAACAACAACAACAACAGCGGCGGCGGCGGTGTCAGCTACGTAGAGGCCGGCGGCAGCTGCGGCGGCGCGGTCTCCATGACCTGCAGCGGCAGTGGCGCAGCAACCACCAAGAAGCACCGTACATCAGTCGACCTGCGGTTGTTTCAATCACACGGCCGACGCTCCAAGCCCGGGAAGTGACCGCCGCCGCCGCCGCCGCCGGAACGCCGCCGCCGCCGGAACGCCGTCGCCGCCGCCGTCGCCGCCGCGGCCGCCACCCGTCATCTCTCAAGGGTTCCGCTGGTGTTGGCGGCCTTGGCGGCGGCGGGGGGTGCAAGCTGAAAGCGTGTAGCGCTCTCTGACGATGGCGGGACCAGAGGATGGTCGTACTTGTAAAACGCGCGCTAAGGCGGCGGCAGGGGAGCGGCCGCCACCCGCAGGATTCAGGATCCAAAACCTGGGGTCCTGGATCCAGGATGGGTGTAGTGTGAACAAATAACACGCCCCCTCGAGCCTCATTGTCACTTTCGCCTCTCGTACCCCTCCTCCCCTCCCTCCCCCTCCCCCCACGGGAGACTTCGCAACGCACCGCCACTACCAGCACCAGCAGCACCGCCACTACCAGCACCACCAGCAGCACAATTAGCTATGCAACGTGCAATCACCAATCCATCTTGTTTCCGTTTTCCCTCATCACTGGAATCAACTAAGGACATTTGCCTATTGTAAGCATCATCATCGCCATCGTCATTATCGCCATCATATGTCATCATCGTTCTCAGGCCATGAAAAGAAAAATGTAGAAAATTTTTTTTATATTTGCGCTCTCAAGCAAATGACAAAGGTGTTAAACGTGTTTTTGCTTTTGCCGTTTGACGAGGGCAGTGTGACGCGATGGTGTGCGCCTCGCAGATGACCGCCAGTTAGTTAGGGGTCGTTGGTTTTCGGATATCTCTCTTCTCATGTTCGCACGCCCCCTCCCCCCCCACCCCAACGTGGGTTAGCGTGCGCTCTGGTTGCTGTCACCCCCCCTTTGGTATCCGGTTGCACCCTTCGGTGATCTAACCCCAAGGGTGCCGTCCCTGTCGGTTCAGGTTTGAAATCGCCGTACTGCCGTACTGGACGATTGGTCGTAATATGTAGTTGATGAGGAATGCCAACGGACTAGAGACATTGGGAATTTAATTGCTCTGTCGCGGAGGAGGGGCGGAGGTAAAAACAAATGACCGACCGACCGACGTATTGATCATCGTCATTATCATCATCATTAACATGTCATGAGTGTTTTTTTAGATGTACTGCTTTCCCCACGCAGTTCTTTTTAAGGGGGGAGAATCTGTCCGTTACAGACGGAAACTACCCGCAAGCAATGGGCTGAAAGACAGGCTTCAAGCTATCGGCTTGCGTAGTTGTGGGAGTGTCAAAGGGTTTAAAGGGTTTTGCATATAATAAAGGGTTTAAAGGGTTTTGCATATATATATATATGTGCGTGTGCGTGTGCGTGTGCGTGGAATAGTGGTATGAAACTCGGACACCCCGGGAGCTGGGGAGGTGGGGGAGAAATATTGGGTGGGGAGGGAGGAGGGAGAAGAGGAAGGGGGGGGCAAGGAGCGCGTGTTCTCGGCCCATAAGGCCCCAGGCCAACTGCCTGTCTGCATTTATCTCGTAAACACACATGCCCAAACATACAGGTGCACACGCGTTGCCCTGCACAGGAATGACCTGAGCTGCTTGGTGACCTTGTGTGCGTGTGTAGTTATGTTTACGTATGTGTGTATGTATGTATAGTTACTATATAATGTTGTTGCGTCATCATTGATTAGTTGTCGTGGTGCACATGCGCGTACCGCTGCGAGGGGGGGTTGGGAGCGAAAAGGGCTTTTCATCCTGTGTGTGTGTGTGTGTGTGTGTGGCCGGTGAGATTTCTGTGGACGCGCGGATGTCCGTCTGTCTATCTGTCCGTACGTCTGCCTTCAAACTGCAGAGCGGTGGGGTAATGTATTTTCTCTTGACCACCCGCCCGTCTTGAAGGTCTTGAAGTGCATTACACGTCATCATGATGATGATAATAAACAGCAGGCAGCCAGTGTGCCAGCAGGTTTAGCACAGCAGCAACGGTCGGTGACGAGTAACAGCGACGGTGTCGTGATAGTGGTGGTAGTGGTAGTGGTGGTGGTGATGGTGATGGTGCGTCTTTGGTTTTGCAGGTGGTGCGGATTCCGAAGGAAGGAGGACGTCTGATGTCTTTTCAGTCGTCGTCGTCAATCAGCCTAAATAAGAATCGTGGACTGCTCCCCTTACCCCCCCAGAACAGCCCAAACGCCGACGCAACACGGTGTGTGGATGTGGGTGTTTGCGTGTCATGCTTTTCAAGCTTCCTTGTTTACCATTGCGTTGGTGGTATTCTGTCTGTTAGGACTGCTGCTGCTGCTGCTGCTGCTAGCCGCGTGTGGCTGCTGCTTGTTGCTGCTGCTGCTGCTGCTGCTAGCCGCGTGTGGCTGCTGCTTGTTGCTGTTGCTGCTGCTGCTGCTAGCCGCGTGTGGCTGCTGCTTGTTGCTGTTGCTGCTGCTGCTGCTAGCCGCGTGTGGCTGCTGCTTGTTGCTGTTGCTGCTGCTGCTGCTAGCCGCGTGTGGCTGCTGCTTGTTGCTGCTGCTGCTGCTGCTAGCCGCGTGTGGCTGCTGCTTGTTGCTGCTGCTGCTGCTGCTGCTGCTAGCCGCGTGTGGCTGCTGCTTGTTGCTGCTGCTGCTGCTGCTGCTAGCCGCGTGTGGCTGCTGCTTGTTGCTGTTGCTGCTGCTGCTGCTAGCCGCGTGTGGCTGCTGCTTGTTGCTGTTGCTGCTGCTGCTGCTAGCCGCGTGTGGCTGCTGCTTGCTGCTGCTGCTGCTGCTGCTGCTGCTGGTGTAACCGGTGCTTTTTTAGTGCTGCAAATGCTGCTGGGGCCCTTTCTTATGTGCTATTTATCGGAGGCTGGCTTATATATATGTGTGTGTGTGTGTGTGTGTTCACTGGGTCTATGTTTTGATGCAGGGGGGGGAGATGTCGTGTGGATCGTGTAGCTACGTGTCATCATCTCATCGTACGTCACCGTCGTACAAAAATATCTATCCCGGCCGACCCCTAGAATGGGCGGAACAGGAGGAGGGGGCGGTGAACGAGGGGAGGAAGGGGAGGAGGAGAATTCTCCTTCGAAGGAGAATGGAGAAATACTTGAAATGCAAGACACGCGTGTGCTTGAAGATGTAGCAGCTGGCCTCGCTGAAAAGGCCTCTCGAAATGCTGGCGGAGCGCCTTAGAGCGTATTGACGTACTGTGTGTCGTACTGTGTACCCCCAACTACTTCATTCTTCCCCTTTTGGAGGAATCCGACTTGGGCCCTTACTCGGGCCACACACACCGGCCTGTGCTTACCATTGCCTTCGGCATTGGGGTCGGCTTTGGGTTCCTCATCCATTCCATCACGTTATGTGCCCGATTCGCATGCATCTAGCCGTCTTTAGTTTTATTAAGGTAGCATACGCCCCCGGACTGGGGACGAGCGTACGGCAGGGTCCAGTAACATGAGCTCCGCCGGACCGCCAACCGAACGCCAACCGAACGCGCCACGAGGAGGAGGTTAAACATATTATACATTATATTATATTTACGATTATGATTGTGTCTCCTTATGGATTTTGTCTTGTGTCATGAGCCGGACGCCTTGCCGAATTCCTCGGCCCGACCCCTTGCACGTCCTCTGAAATCTGAAAGATAATTGAAATTAATTGAAATATCTGTGTTGAAATAAGTTTGGTTAAGTTTAAAGGTTGAAAAGTGGGTCAAGTAACCGTCTTAAGCCGAAAGCCGAAAGCCAACCAGTCAGCTTTGATAAATAGAAACTAATAACACTACTGATGGGCGACGGGGCCGGTCGATGAGGCCTTCGAAGGCCGCGTTGTCGCGATGCAGTCTCTTGGGGTACAGCGGCCGTCGCCCGTCTGGATAGCCGGCCGGGGAGATGGCCTAACCTTTATCTGACACGCTGACACGCCTAGCGCGGGGCACGGGGGCGCGGGGCACGGGGCGCCCCCCCTACTTGGGGGGTAGGCACCTCCCAGTAGGTGCCCCTGCGTGTCCGTATGCCCGGAATCTCGCCAGCCCCTGCTTTCCCCCATGCGCCGCGCGTACCTACAGCTGCGTTATGATTATATGCATGCATGGGCTGCGGCGAATCGGCGCGCGAAGCCCCGGCGGGACCGAAATGGGACCTTACGTGTTCCTGACCCGCCTAGCCTCCTGCCGCCTGCGTGTCCGTATCCCCGATTCCTCGCCAGCCCCTGCTTTCCCCCATGCACCGTGCCTACCTACAGCTGCGTTATGATTATATGCATGCATGGGCTGCGGCGAATCGGCGCGCGAAGCCCCGGCGGGACCGAAATGGGACCCCTGGGACAGCCAAGAGTGTATCTGCATCACCAAGGCCACATTGCCGGATGGTTGCAAAGACTCGCCTCTCTGCTTCAAGAGCGTCATCTGTTTCCCGCTCCAAGGCTCTGTTTCCTGCTGCTAACATTCAAAGGCGAGGTCCCCGACGGCCGCAAAACACTCTAAATCAATTATACCATCAAAATCTTTACTGCGTCTTCATTGTAAAAATTAGCTGGATCATAGCAAACAGGGCGTCTTCAGGGGTTGACAGTGGACATCTCTTGGCGTAGCCGCGCAAACTGTCATTGCATAAATGTCTTTATTCCCTTCATAATGCGAAGCAGGATAATTAGAAATATGCAAAGTTCGTTGTTCTATTTTTTTCTATTTTTGGGTGGTTGCGTCCTGGACTGCGCGCGGTCCAGGACGCGGTCCAGGACGCCGGTACGGCAGTCCGGGGCCCCCATGATATCTATTAGGTATCAATGTCTTTTTCAGTCAATCATAGCTATTACATTTTATCACAGTTACGTGTTTTTCAGCCAATCATAGCTATTACATTTTATCACAGTTAACCATCATGCACATGATGGTGGATCGTCGATCCAAACCCATTCCTCTGCAGAGCCGAATTGACGACTTCGGGATCTTAAACATGTACACGTGGTTTTGATACCAACTGTAGTAGCTGGCCTCGCTGAAAAGGCCTCTCGAGATGCTGGTGAAGCGCTTAGAGCGTATTTATAGGAGTTCGTGTGCCGTACTGAGTACCAGCTACTCCACGGGAGAAGAGCGATGTTCCAGAAGTGTTTTTGGTATAACGTACACCTTTATCTTTACCCGCTCGGGTTGGCTGGCCCGTGTGAAATATGGTACGGCAGTAATGTTAACACAGAATGGTGATAGTTCATGTACGGCGTTATCTGTACGGGCAAAATACAGTTTTCTTACCTCTCTTACTATCATCCGTCCACACATACCGTGTCGAAGTCGTATTTATGTCAATGTACAGCTACTGGTTGTGATGTCCCGTTCAGCAGCCCAACCAAACAATGCAGTACTAGTAGTAGTCCTAAAATCAACAGCTAATGCCGCTGAGTGTAGAATCTAGGGAAGCGATGGTGCCCCCTATTGAGTCGGTTACTCAAACCCTAGTGTCGAGGCTTGGTTGGAGATGGGGTGTAGGGCCTCCAATCCGATTCCAACAATTATCCGTTAAAATAGCGACTAATATGCAACTTTCACCTTTTTCGATGGCTCGCCGTGTGGCCCATACCCTTTTCATCAAAGAGGCGACGGGTTCTTCTGAGATATTGGATGAAGCTATTCTTCTTTTGCAACGGACATTCCATCGTTTATGGTTTCATTTACGGTGGGAAAATGAACAAAAAGAGATTTGGTGGCGTCTTGCGGTTGATGGGGTGCCTATGTTAGGAAATTCCCATCTTAGGATGTCGCGCCCAACGATATGTGGTTGTGGAGGTTATCCAATAGGTTCAGTGGGAGGTGTATCCCCTCGCTATCATCATTTCTGGGCCTGTCCGGTGGCACAGGCAATAGCAGATCAACTTACTCTTTCAATAGGATTGCCAGTCTCAAGGGAGCAACTTTGGCTTATCCAAGCCCCACAATCAGTGCAACAATGTCTTTGGGATGTTGTGGCTCTTGCTGCGGTGTCAGCCATGGAGCATGGGAGACGTTATATGGCTGCAAACATGAAAACCAACCCGGCACTGTTACCTGGTCCTTCCCTTACGGAAGAAGCAATTTGTCGAGTTATTGTTGATTTTTGGGGCCGCATTCAGGGTTTCGCAGCTTTAGGAATTCCACGAAAAGGTTGGGAATCCGTTGGCGCACATCACCCCTTTTTGAGGATTATATCTGGCAAATTGA